CTCATTAATACCCACTTGGGCTTGGAACATCCCCTTACGTTCTCAGCTTTCTAACTTCTCAGGCTTCCGAATTAGCTACCTATCCGCAAAAAACTTTCAAGGGCCCGTACGTAGGTACCATGTGGGTAAGGCCGCCCATTTTTGGGGATGGAGGCCCGTACAAGCGTGTAAATTAAGCTTCCAAAGTTTCAGTCCTGTAGCTTCTGTGGATCTTGAGATGAAAAATCGGTACAGACGCACAGCGCGCGCACACACATAGACAACCTCTCGTCAATATGCGTTTTCTGCATAGCATAGCTGCAAAAAACGCATAAAAAGCTAGAAAAAATGTACTGGCCCAGTTAAAGCGGTTTTACACTCATTATTCTATAGCCAGCCAGCAGTACGACTAAATAAATTTAAGCAGAAACACTGTAACATCGCTTTCCGATAGGTTACCTAAACACAGCAGTCCAAAGTGTTTCTGTGAACAGAAGAAAATAAAAATTTGAGTTAAATGATAACTAAAAAACAAAATTGATCGTTAAGTCATTAAAATTAGTCCGGAAGTGCAAAGCACTTTTCTGTAATCTTGCACTCATATATGAATTTCGGACATTATATTCCATTTTTTGAATTTCGCTGAATTTCTCTAAATTTTTTGTTGAAGAAACGGCATGTAATGTGAACGACAAGCAATATCACATCGGTGATTTAGTTCGATCAGCGTTCTTCCTAATGAAATGCAGCGAAGATGGCTACAAAATTATCGGTTTGTGCGCTCTTCTGTTGTACGTAGCAGTCATCAGAATCGTTAGGGGAATTTGTTTAACTCCAAAAGTGGTAGAAGGGCTCTAAATTTAGCAGGATGGAAGTCACATTTTACCGCACGGTAAGCACATAATTTTCCTAGAAGACTACAAAATTTAGCTATCGGAAGACTAAATCAGCGGAGATAAAGAGCGCCAAATTTTAAAGAGCTAGAAATATCAAACTAAGCTTTTACGTCTGATGAAAAACAAGTAGTAGCAGAAAGTAGAAGGCGTCATCATGGATAAAAGTTATTGTTTTGCTGGAATGTGGTATTTTTTAGGCTGTTATTATGTTGGAAACAACGGAAAGGAGGTAGATATGAAACCTGGTACAACTGCGGAAGCGAATGGACAAATTCATCACTGTGACGATAACGATGGTAACATCCAGTACTACGCGACAGGTGCGCTTCCTTGAGCGCTATTGTTCTTTCGGATTCATTATGCTGGATCAGAGATATACGGCTCGTTGTGCTACATTTTCCCGAAATGCTATATTATTTTGTCGTACACTGTGAATCGCAGATAAATGCCTAATGGATAATGAAGGATGCATGGAAACCAATAAGGTTCAGAGGTTAGTAGCACAGGGTGGACAAGTACATTTGGTACAGAATTGGTAAAGATTACAAGAAAAGGGGCTGCTTACCACTTTTTGATCGCTTTTAAATGGTACTTTTGAAAGCCAGGAAAACGCTTGATGTGGTAAGAAGAAACAGTGAATCTTTAAAAGTGCTTGGGATGTCTCTTTGTGACCATACAGACAATCAGATTCTTTGCTAGATGAATGCCAAACCGGGACAAGCTCATGATCAACAAGAAAAATAAACCTGATGGACTGGACACGTTGGTCATTCTAGTTTCACTGAAAGATGAACCGTTACATATTATTAGCAAGACGAAGAAGTTCGACCAACAAGACATATTTGGGCACGTAAATATTTCTAATGAAAACTGCCAGTTCAGGTTGGTGAAAGGGTGTTCATAACAGAAAAGGACACACTGCTTGGTTTTACGGCTGATATTGCTATAGCTCAAGATTCCGTTTCAGTGGTTCTTGTAATTCTTGAAGTTAGCTGTTGTTTTACT